TGTTGCAGACTGTCTGGTACCTGGGTAGTTGGTTGGTTGGTAGGATCAGAAGGGACCTAAGCAGATCATCTGGTCTGACCCCTGCCATGGGCAGGAATGGATGCTGGGGTCAAATGACCCCGGCTAGGTGATTATCTAGCCTCCTTTTGAAGACCCCCGGGGGTAGGGGCAAGCACTGCTTCCCTTGGAAGTTGGTTCCAGCTCCTAGCCGCTCTGACAGTGAAGTAGTGCCTCCTGATATATAGCCTGTATCTACTCTCAGTCAATTTATGGCCGTTGTCCCTTGTTACCCCCAGTAGTGCTCGGGGGAAAAGGGACTCTCCCATTGCCTGCTGGTCCCCCTTGGCAAGTTTATAGGCGGCCACCAGATCCCCTCTCGGCCTTCTTTTGTGGAGGCTGAACAGGTTCAGGTCCCATAGCCTCTCCTCGTAGGGCCTGCCCTGCTGACCCCTAATCATGCGAGTGGCCCTCCTCTGGACCCTCTTGATGCTGTTCACATCCCTCCTGAAGTGCAGCGCCCAGAACTGGATGCAGTACTCCAACTGCGGCCTGACCAATGTTGCATAGAGGGAGGATCACCTCCTTGGACCTGCTCGTGATGCATCTGTGGATGCATGACAAAGTGCGGTTAGCCTTCCTGACCGTGTCCTCACATTGGCAGCCCATGTTCATCTTGGAATCAATAGTGACTCCAAGATCCTTCTCTGCCTTTGTGCTGATGAGAAGGGAGTTCCCCAGCCTGTAGGTCTGCTGCTGGTTCTTCCTACACCACAGACACCTAATTTTTAAATGAGGTTGGGGTGAGAGACAGTGTCAAAGGCCTTCCTAAAGTCCAGGAAGACTTCATCCACCACAACACCTGCGTCCAAGGTTTTTGTGACCTGGTCGTAGAAGGCCACCAGGTTGGTCCGACAGAACCTGCATCTAATGAACCCATGTTGATTGCCCCTAAGCATAAACTGCCCTGCTGGCCCTTCACAGATGTGCTCCTGGATAATTTTCTCAAACAGCATCCCCAGGACCAAGGTAAGACTAACGGGCCTATAGTTTCCTGGGTCCTCTTTCCTCCCTTTTTTGAAAATGGGGACCACATTGGCCCTTTTCCAGTCATCAGGCACCTCACCAGAGCACCACGAGTGCTCGTAAAGCTGTGCCAGGGGTCCTGCAAGGACTTCTGCCAGTTCCCTAAGCACTCTGGGGTGGAGATCATCTGGACCTGCTGATTTTAACACATCTAGTCCCTCCATAAGTTCCCTGACTAGGTCCTCACTGACCCTGGACCTGGCTGTGCCTCCCCTGGGTCTGTCCGGTATCCCAGTGGGGGGGATATCCCTGTCCCTACTCAGAAAAATGGAAGCAAAGAATATGTTAAAAAGATTATCTTTGTCATCTGGTGCTACCACCAGATTACCAAGCATGTCCTGCAGAGGCCTCACATTATTTGGCACCTTCTTTTTACCCCCTATATATTTAAAAAAAGACTTCTTGTTATCTTTGATCCAGGTCGCTAGTCCCAGTTCCATCTCTGCCTTGAGTACTACCCAGTGGGAGCCTTCTAAATACCTAAGACAGCCAGAGGATGACTGCACGGCTTCCTTCCTCACAATTAAAGCTCTGTGAAACTTCATCATTCCTGATAACCCACTGTTTCCAGACCATTGGTTCATCTCCCTCCTTAGTGTTTCCCCAGCCCCCTTTGTCTGCATCTATTCCTTTTCCATGTTCCTCCTCTCTGAGCACTCTCAGCTTTGTCAGGTTCTTTCCAGTAAGGAAGTGCTGTGAGCGGAGCACAGGACTCCAGGTGCATTTGACAGGGGTGCAGAGATTGTCCATTATGCTGACTCTTGTTGGTCTGAGGATGTAGCTGGTGCCCATTGGTAGGCCACCAGTCTTGTTTGTTCTGTGATCTAAAGTGCTCTCAAGCACTGTGTGAACTAGTCTTCTTCCCTCCACAGATGGGAAAACCCTCCCACTGATATTTCTGGAGGAACCTTGCTGCAGTGCTGCTTTCTTCAGATGAGGGCCAAGACCATCTCTTCCCACCGGGGAGTTGCATGGAACCCATGCTGCTTTATCCACTCACTGTAGCCTTACCACAAATGGTAGATGCAACAGAGAGGCTCACCATAGTTTTTCCTGCAGTGAGAGAGGGCGCTTGGAATTGGATGAAGAGCAGTTTTGCTGTTGGTCAGTATCTGAGATCCTTGAGTAGTGACTTTCATGCCATCACGAACTGCAGGGGCAAAAAAGAAGAGTTTCCCCTACCACTCGACTTGTATGCTGCTATGGAAGATACCTAGTATATGTCAGATTCAGAACAGCTGACAAAGACTTAAAAAGATCTTCCTAATGGTCCTAAGATATAGATCTGTGCTGGGGTCCAACACCAAATGAGTTGGTTGAGAGAAGGCACATCCAACTGGCCTGTCCACCTGCTTGGATATAATACTCAGACACTTTCCAGGAGCAGTAGCTGCTGATGTCTTTCTGAGTGGATGGTAGCAAGGCTCTCACCCAATCCGCTGGCAGGAGACCAGAGCTCCAACATCCTCAAATGTGAAACTTCACCAAATCAGAGCAGTGCTATGCCCAGGTGGAAAACAATGCTGTAACAGCGATGATCCCTGGCAACACTGGCCTCCGATGCTACTAAATTTTACAACAGAAACAGATCTAAAACCTTAGCAGTTGTGAAACCCTGGCAGTCTTTTAACCCTGAATATAACAACTTTGGTTCTGGTTACTGCATTTTTTTTCACAAGTGAGCAGAGCAGGCAGACACTCAGAGCAGCAGAGCACCTAATGGGAAGCACAGACTGAATATACTGTCTAGAAGGTCTTCAGTGACTACATGGAGATGGCAATTTCAGCATCAGCCAGCTGTTGCAACAAGTAAGACGAGCACAGCTAGAGCTGGAGACAAACTTGGCTTTTCCAAAGTGGGAGTGACCTTCTAAGAATCCTGCTACCATATTGGCAGTCACTTTTGCTATAGTTGGTAGGCTTCTAATGGAAGGACCAGAGCACCCGTATTCTTGCAGTACTCTGGAATGAGATATTTGACAACATGCCTAAAAGATCTCTTGGAATAAACAACTGCTGGGCAGGACACCAATCAGCATATTAGCCAGGGCTCAGTTGGCCAGTTGAGAATCACTAGTCATAGAGCAGGAGAGAAAAACCCCCCCCCCCCCCTCTGCCACATCAGTCCTCTCTCCAGATCTATCTGAGTCTTTGGCAGCAAGAGCAATAGATTTGTTTTTCTGGAATGGAAATGTGGTCATTATGGCCCTTGATTACTTCTCCAGATACAGCAAACTCCTGGCAATGCTCACCAAGAACTCATCATCACAAGTCACACCAACACTACTATCGGCCTTTGCAAGACATTCCTCATGTCCTAGTTCTCAGCATATGTCATCAACATCCATAGCATTTCCATGAGACTTTAGGTTGGAATGAGGGGACTGCAGCAGTAGGAAGAAATGTTGATATAGGGGGCATGTCTACATGTGTAATTAATTCAATACATTCAAGAACTTTTGCACTGGAGTTTATTGTTTCTGGACATGCCATGTGAACATGCTCCTGGGACCACAGCATGTTGAACCAGGTTGGAGCAGCCTTGGCTAGCAGGTGGCTCCAGGGGTCAGCCTGCCAGCCTGGGGCTGCTCCAACCCAACTCAATGTGCTGCAGAGGGGCTGGCTGGGGCACAAGGGTGTTCCAGTGTAGGGCTAACCAGCAGGCAGCCCCTGAACTGAAGTACGTTCATTCCCCAGCCAGCCAGGTCAGCATCTACATGTGCACTGCTGTGGAGTAAAAAACTCCAAACAGGATAGTACTTTCATTTACAAGTACTGCCCTGCTGTAGACTTTACTAGTTTACTCCAGCCTAATAGCCCTGCTTGTATAGACACTGAGACATTTAGTGTAGAGCTAATTTACTGTAGAGCTACTACTCCTCAGTAAACATCTTGTGTAGGTGCGTCCCCTAGGAAGTAGCGGTATGCCTAGCTCAGGCCCATCTCTAGCAGAGCTTCTAAGGGAAAAAAAGGGCTTGGGACCATCTGTGCTGGTAGCACTGAAATACCAGTAAAGCTAAGTGGCCTGACCTGGCACAATTTCAAAGGCATGAGGCTATAATAAAACTTCAGCAGCAGTAAACCTATAATATTTGCTACAGAATTAAAAGCGTAACCCAAGCTGAGCTCTAGCCCTGCAGTTTGACTCACACACTTCAGAGCAGCTCTGGATCGATAAGAAGAATCACAGTTCTGATGCAGCATTCTGTATCAGCAGATCTCAAAAAAGTGCTTTACCAAGGAACTTGCTATCATTGCCCCCAGTTTAAACATGGGGAACAGAGCCAGGGGTGGGGAAAACAACTAGGTGCCAGGACTCTACTCAGCTAACATAGCAGTGTCTTTGGGCTTTTATAGTAGCAAAACTTTAGGCACCTAAGTCACTTTAGTAGTGAAACATAGATATCAAAGTGGTGAGGTAGGCTTTTCTGTCGATTGGGCTCTTAGACTTAGGTATCTAATTTTTATCTAAGTTGCCTAGGTACTTTTCTGGATCGGGCCATTAGTCTTAGGCTAAGAAGTCCTGGGTTACCCAGCAGGTGGGGGAGAGCGGGGAGGAGGAGGGAACAACTGGGAATCAAGCTTGGCTCTCCCGGGCCAGTGCATTCTCCACGAGGACCTGCTGCCTTCCTAGTTTATGGAGGCCTCCAGAAACCACCTCCATTGGTATTGCTGTGAGCCCAAGATGTTGGGAAGCCCTTCCCAGGGCTGTGAGGATATGAGTGATCCCTTCTTTGGGGACTTTGGGGGCCAGATCCTTGGGCATATAAATTAACACAGTTTTGTAGGTTCTGGCACATGCATGAGCAGTGCTGATCATACCAGCTGGGATCTGGGACTTGATCCTTAATGGAGAGGGACTCCCTGGATTCTGGCTTCAAGGGGCTCTCTCCACTGTAGAGAGGAAGAGAACTCACCTCTCCTCTGGGCTTCTGCTGCAAAGCAGTCCCTATGGTCTTCTGTGCAGGACCACAGTTCTGAAGGACATAGGAAGTGGAACAATATAAAACAGAGGAAGCTTTTTCTTCTTCTGTTCCCAGGGAAGTCTCTAGGGCTGGGAGGTGGATTTCAGTAAGACAGAGGGAGTTCTGGGCATGGGGGCATCTCTCCTAGGGACACAGTGGGAGGCACTACATATGCTGAGCAATGGGTGACCTGGGCACAGGCAGAATGCCATGTCTCTGGAAATAGCTGTGTTAATCCCCATGCAATGCATCAGTTCTAACCAACCCAGCAGGGGCACCCCACTAAGGTCATCCCCTTCCTTCCCTGCTCTGCTCTAAGACCCAGCTTCCCTATTCATGGGGACTCAGGGTAAGGGCTTCCCAAGAGGAAAGAGGGAACAGAAGCTCCGGTGCTGTAGGAGGCAGAAACTGGGATCTGATGGGAACTTTGCAGAGCCACACACCTGTTTCTGCTTCCCAGAAGTGCTGACTGCTGGCAGAGGTCGGGAGCACCCACACACCTCTCTTTCACACTTGAGGTACCATTTCCACATACTGCTTTTTCAACAAGTCATCAAAGCTGCCTGCCATCTCACCTAGTGCACAAGGGATCCTTTTGAGACACAGGTCAGCGGATGGATCCTCCTAATGCCTCCAGAGGGCAACATGGAGCTGGACTTCCCCAGGACTGCAAATCCCAGAGGCCCTTGAATGGTGGAGCTAGGGTTTGTGCCCAGGGTCTCAGCCAAGGGCCCACTTATGTCCGCCCATTCCTGACCTGGCCGAGGATGATCAGGGAGTGCTGATATACCCAGCTCTCAGCCTGCCTGTTGCAACAATCCCAGCACTGATTATTTCTAAACCAGAACAGCTCTGGAGAGGGCCCTGGTGACACAGCCCCAGTGCATTTCCGCCACTGCCTGGAGCAAGGACAACTGAATAGCGAAGTCAGATGGAGCTTGGCAGGCAGGCCCTGCTTTCTGTCTCTGAACTACAGCCAGGTTCTGCTGGACATTGACATCAGAGACCACCCCTTTCCATGCCACGCATGCATACCCACCCAAGGCAACAGAGAGGAGATACAACAGAGAGCTTTAACCCTTTGGCTACTGAGCACAAATGTACAGCAAAGGAAAGGATGTGACTAGTGCAGACAGCAGAGGCCTGGTTGTCAGGATCCTTGAGTTGGAGGAATAGACATTCATGAAACCACAGGAATAGGCCTCAGGACTGCTGGTTTCTCTACCTGGCTCTGGGAAAGGATGTTTCTAGGGTTTGGCTCAGGGTCAAGGCTCAGGGTTGTTTCCTGACCCTCCCTCACCAGAAGCTTCCAAGCTGAGCGGGCCACCAGGATAATATGAACAAGGCAGAGAAGTTTTTGTAGCACTGGCACACATATTAGATCAATATCAGCTGCCCTGACTCTCCAGTCCAAGTGAGCAGGTGTTCATTTACAACCAAGCTCCACCACGGCATAACCACTCTGCTCCCTTGCCATCCCTGGGGGCTGATGCGGTTTAACTGGCATTGGTGAAGAGCTTGATGATAAATGTTCTCTTAGGAATTCACAGGGCTTTCAGAGTTAAGGGCTGCCTGGCTTCGCAGGGCTGCCTGGGGCAGTGTCCAACCACTGGCAGGAGGCACCAGAAGGGGAGCGGTGCTGGAAGGCAAACAGGTGTCCCTGGTCCCCGTTTCCAGCAGTGCATGTATTTGATGTGTCCTTATCGAGCCATCAAAGTGATTTGTTTCAGATGAGGTTGTGGGCCAGGCCAGCAGGAAATCATTTGCAGACTCACTCATCCTGTTTGTTATTTTTGCATGCACCCAATTTGCAAATGTCAATTGACCAGAGTGGGGGGTGTGGGGCGGAGTAGGGAAGGATCTGCTCTGATGATGTGGGATTTTTAAAAGGACAGCATGAATATCTGTAGTCAAGAGCCACACGTCGTTTGCAAAAGAGCTGTCAAGTCTGTAAGACAGAGGAGTCTCTGGGACCTCTTCTGTCCCACATGAGATTTTTAGCATCATTCTTCAGGGGCTGGTTTCACTGGCTAGAAAGCTGGAATCCTAAGCGGCAGCTGGCTGTGTAATTAGAGCTATGGGAGGGGAATCAGGACACCTGTGTTCTGTTCCTAGCTTTGCCACTGACACACTGTAAGAACGCAAAGACGAGTCACTGCCTCTCCTGGGCCTCAGTTTCCCTCCCTTCCAAGTGCTTTGAAATTTGCAGAACTGAACTGTAAGTGCTCATGGGGAGTTTTACTTTGTGATCCTCTTGTTCTCAGAAGCGTGTGAAGGTAACAGCATTATCACCATCTCCAGGAAGCCTGGCAGGATGGGGAAGAGGTTTGTATCCTTGCAAGGAAAGAAAAGATTGGTAAAGTGATACATAATGACAATGAAAGGTCAGTGCTATAGAGCAGTCTGGTCTGCTTGGGAAGCTGGGTTCATTCCACTAATGTGGTGAATGCACCGGTTTGCAAAGTCAGGTATCTAAAACACAGGTCAAATTTATGGGATAAGGAACTGATTGAGAAAAGGCCTTGAAGGTCATGGTGAAATACAGCTGAGCATGAATCCCTGGGTGACGTGCCAGCTGAGAAGGTGGATATATGATCCTTGGAGATATGAACCAGAAAATATCAAGTAGTGGTAGGGAGGTGGTGTCCTCTCTGTGTGCTGTGTCATCTGCCCATGGTATTCACTTAAAAAAAAAACAACTAAAGAGCAGAAAGACCATTTTCCTCATTATTTTCTCTAATCCTTTTCCTAGAAACTGTATAAATCACAGACAACTGTTTTTGTTTTCTTTTTTAAGTCTGTTTCGGAAGCAGCCAAATTCAGGGCTTTTTAACAAGTTAGGAACTTTTCCTGGAGGCTTCTGTGGTCTTTTCATGGTCTTATGCCTTTAAAATCAGCCCCTTCCAATGTTGATTGCTATCCCATCCCAGCTCGCCCACCCACTCACTTTGCCAAGAATAAAGAGGTGCTGTTTCCTTTCAAAAGGATAAAAGAGGGAATTTACCGTCTCTAATATAGTTAAGTATTTTTAACCAGTCTCTTTAAGGAACATCCTATTCCTAAATGCTAGATTTCATTTTCTGGATTAGAAAAAGTAAATCCAGCAGCACATGAATTTGAATTGTTATTTCTTTCTAGCTGGAGAATGAGGGGTTTTCTAGTTAGGGCAATGCTCTGACAGTCCGAACTCCTGGGGTCTCTTCAGGAATCTGAATGGGGAGTAGAGCCTGATATAATGGTTAAAGCTGGGCCAGGGGCTTGGAACACTGTTCCCAACTCTGGGAAAGGTGTTTTCTACTGGTCAGAACTGCAGTGTGGGAGGGGCTCCTGGGTTCTGTTCCCAGCTCAGGGAAAGAAGTAATGCCAGTGGAGAGACCAGGGAAGAGCTGGGAGCATCGTTGACTTGTAGGGAGGGCATGGCAGGACACACGCCCCCCCGAGATTGGCCGCTGCCGCTGACTTCTGTGGGTGGTTGCTGCTCGCCCCCTTGCCGCTGCCGGCTTCTGCGGGCAGTCACCACTTGCCACCGCCACTGTCGCCACCAGCTTCTGTAGGCGGCCACCAATCGCTGCCAACAGCTTCTGCAGGCAGTTGCTGCTTACCACCCCGCTGCTGATACTGCCTGATCCTGACTGGGAAAAGGATCTTGGAGTCATTATAGACTCCAAGATGAACATGGGCTGCCAATGTGAGGACGCGGTCAGGAAGGCTAACCATACCTTGTCATGCATCCACAGATGCATCACGAGCAGGTCCAAGGAGGTGATCCTCCCACTCTATGTGACACTGGTCAGGCCGCAGTTGGAGTACTGCATCCAGTTCTGGGCGCCGCACTTCAGGAGGGATGTGGACAGCATCGAGAGGGTCCAAAGGAGGGCCACTTGCGTGACCAGGGGTCAGCAGGGCAGGCCTTACGAGGAGAGGCTACAAGACCTGAACCTGTTCAGCCTCCACAAGAGAAGGCTAAGAGGGGATCTGGTGGCCATCTATAAACTGGCCAAGGGAGACCAGCAGGCAATGGGAGAGTCCCTGTTCCCCTGAGCACTACTGGTAGTAACAAGGAATAATGGCCATAAGTTGACTGAGAGTAGATTCAGGCTAGATATCAGGAGGCACTACTTCACTCTCAGGGTGGCTAGGATCTGGAACCAGCTTCCATGGGAAGTAGTGCTCGCTCCTACCCTGGGGGTCTTCAAAAGGAGGCTTTGCTCCTTTTGAAGCAAACGCCCTTGCTAGGGTCGTTTG